ACGGTGGGCTCAGGGCGTGTGCCAGGCATCACGGTGGACAAGGACTTTAGAGGAGGCCCCACCACTCAGGCAGCAGAAACATTAAAAAAAAAAGTGACATCACATCCAACCAAGAAGTTTCTACACAGCCTAGGAGGCAGTCCACAGAGAGACTGGGAGAAGGTACTGGCAGCCGCTTCTCTGATGAAGGGCTAGCATGTGAGTTACATAAGGAACTCATCCTTCTCAGTGGCAAAAATGCACTCAAAGACGGCGCAAGGCCATTTAGCATGAGCAGCCTACAACAGGCAGACTCACAGAAGCACGGAGAGTCGAGTGGCTGGGGCAGGGGCCTGAGGCGAGCAGAAATGGGGGGATTAGGCAGAGGTCGTGGGGGGTCCAGTCGTGAAGGCTGAGTGAGTGGCAGAGTCCACGATGGAAGGCTTACAGTTAACGATGCCGCACGTGCACTGCAGATCTGTGCCCTCAAGGCTGATACTACTAGTGGTATTAATATAATAATCAGGGCAGGAGGGTGCATCCCGGGTATGGCTGTGGTTATGGCATAGATCCTCTCATCCACACGCCCATGGGCGTGTGTGCGTCAACATGTCCTGAAACTTATTTGCATAGAGCATGTTTTGTGCCAACAAAGTTACTGACAGCTTGGGAAAATCTATTAGACCTGAGTTTTCCAGGTCAGGGTGAGTGAGAAGCATCAGTAGTTTTCCTGTATCTAAGCAGGAACCAGATAGAACATGCAGGTTTTTTGGTTGTTTTTTTTTTGTTTGTTTGTTTGTTTGTTTTTTTTGAGAGGTAGAGTTACAGACCGTGAGAGAGAGAGAGAGAGACAGAGAGAGAGGTCTTCCATCTGCTGGTTCACTCCCCAAATGGCCGAAACGGCTGGAGCTGCACTGATCCAAAGCCAGGAGCCAGGAGCTTCTCCCTGGTCTCCCATGCAGGTGCAGGGGCCCAAGCATTTGGGCATCCTCCACTGCTTTACTTCATTCCTGGGGGAAAAACACCTGCGATCTAAAAACACAAGGAGATCCTGGATTCCAGAGGCAATCAGTACAGCTCTGCCCGGTGTACTGTGCAGCTGCCCATCGTCTGTCTCTCAGCCACCTGCCGCCTGAGCCATCCACACTGCCATCCCCAGGTTCATGTCAACAGGGAGCTGGGGTTCGGGCAGAGTCCAGATTTGAACCCAGGCACGCCCATCCAGGCTGCGGGGTCGCGAGCAGCATCTTGGCCTGTGCACCAGATGCCCACCAGATGCTACCATGAGCCTTGAAGGCCAGCAGGTTGTGGACGGGGAGGAGCGGTGCAGAGGGCCCGGGTAGGGAGGCAGCCAGCTAACATCCCTGGGACCTGTGCAGGCGTGGGGCGGCCAAAATGGACGGCGTCCGGGAGTTTGGCAGTGACAAGGGGAGAGATGAGGGCTGCCAGGACTGAAGTGAGATGTGGCTTTTCTTGTGGTTTGTGAGACGATGCTGGATTTGCCCGTGGTTCCTGTGGGAGCTAGCAGAGGGAGGAGTGGGGCTCCATGGTGGGGGGGTGTTCTGCAGGGGGCTGCACACAGGAATTAAAGTGAGCGGCCAGGGGCAGCCAGAAGCCCCGACAGCCGGCTGGCTGGTCAGCCAGGAGGGCGGGGCTGAGGGAGGGTGACCCAAGAGGGCGGAGGATGAGAACGGGGGAGCCCAAGCCACAAGGCACCATCAGAAGCACGGCTTTCTCCACTTGCCCTGGACTTCAGCACCCCGGCGTCTGGATCAAAGCTGCGTGTCAGCGCTGGACCTCCCAGGAGCACGGTGACGTGGCTCATGTGGACATAAGGCTCCTGGCCACTTCCTTTCTGGGGGTTCCTTGCTTAGCTGCAGCCCCGTCAGCCGCGTTCCTGCGTCTGTCCCGCCGTGGCGCTTTGCACCCCTCACACGGTCCTCCTCGTCTGGCACGGGCGACAGTCGTCAGAGCGCCGCCGAGCTCTGTGGCCTTGGGTGGGAGACACAGCTTGCAGCCCGGATCCCAGGCTCCCGAGGACTCCAGCCAACATTCCGGGCTGGCTCTCAGCAAGAAGTGCTGTAATCAACTCCTAACCAAGCAAGCTAACATTTTGCTTGGGGGAAGGCATCGTTTTCCCAAACAAATGCCTTTCAAGTAAAGACAATTTCATGCCCGCTTTTTCCAGCGTGATCTTCTCCAGGGCTTGGGCGTAACCATCGTGTTGTGCAAGGGTGCGTTTGTGAAGCCTTGGAGAATCCGGTTTCTTCTGGTTTTCAGTCCTGCCCTGGGAGCTGGGCTGTGTTTAAGGAGGATGCCGTGGGGTCTTCAGGGAGTTCATAGAAAATGGAACTGGCCAGCGCCGCGGCTCACTAGGCTAATCCTCCGCCTGCGGCGCTGGCACCCCGGGTTCTAGTCCCGGTCGGGGCGCCGAATTCTGTCCCAGTTGCCCCTCTTCCAGGCCAGCTCTCTGCTGTGACCTGGGAATGCAGTGGAGGATGGCCCAAGTGCTTGGGCCCTGCACCCACATGGGAGACCAGGAGGAAGCACCTGGCTCCTGGCTTTGGAACAGTGTGGTGCACTGGCTGCAGCGCACCGGCCGCAGCGGCCACTGGGGGGGGCGAACCAACTGAAAAGGAAAATCTTTCTCTCTGTCTCTCTCTCTCACTGTCCTCTCTGCCTGTCAAAAGAGAGAGAGAAAGAAAGAAAGAAAATGGAACTAAAAGATGCATTTATCCTGATGCAAAAAAAAAAATATTGAAATCCATGCCTTATTTTTCATAATGTATATTTTCACGAGCTTTTTGAACTTTTTGGATTTCAACTTTTGGGTACCAAAATAAATGCATCTTTTAATTTTTTTGTCCACTAACTTTTTGTTTGTTGTCATTTTTTAATGGTGTGAGAACTAATCATTTTTTTAAAAACCTTCTATTATTATTGTTTGTTTGAAAGGGATCTTCCTTCTAATGGTTCACTCCCCAAATGCCCACCACAGCTAGAACTGGGCCAAGCCAAAACTGGAAGTCAGGAACTCCATCTGGGACTCCCACGTGGGTGGTAGGGGCCCAAGGGCTTGGGCCATCACTGCTGCCTCCCAGGGTGTGCGTCAACAGGAAGCTGGTTTCAGAAGCAGAGCCAGGTCTCGAACCTGGGCCCTCTGATTCAGGATGTGGGTGTGCCGACACCTGCCTCTCTAATAACTTTTCAAAGTGCCTTCAAGGGCTAACTACAGGGTTAACCATGCTCCCTTCCATCTGGTCTGTTCAGAGTTGTGGGAGGCACGCTGGGCCTGGCTGGGTGTGGCAGCCTGGATGGCAGCAGAGCCGGCTGGGCTGCGCCAGGTGTGGCGGCTGCTTGGGACTGAGTCCCAGGGCTGGGGAAGGAGGTGGAGCAGGGGTTCTCATGGTGATGGTGAAAAGCACCAGCTTCAGGCTCCGCCACAGCCTGCAGTGCCAGCATCACATGTGGGCACCGGTTCGAGTCCCGGCTGCTTCATTTCCAATCCAGCTCCCTGCTATGGCCTGGGAAAGCAGTAGAAGATGGCCAAGTCCTTGGGCCTCTGCACCCACGTGGGAGACTTGGAAGAAGCTCCTGGCTCCTGGCTTCTGCCTGGCCCAGCCCTGGCCATTGAGGCCATTTGGGGAGCAAACCAGCAGATGGGAGATCAATTTCTCTTTCTTTCTCCCTCTCTCTATAACTCCACCTTTTAAACAAACAAATAAATAAATAAATCCGGCTTCTAGACAGCTGTGGTGCTGTTTTTGACTCCTTATTATCTGCATCTGAGTCAGCTCTGCCAGCCTCCCGCCCATGGACGTCAACTTTGTATTCAGTCTGAATCTCTGGGACTATGGACCTGGTAAGCAACATGAGGGCCACCAGACTTGTAGCCACCATCAGGGGCAGGGCTGAGGTGGGCACACAAAGGAGTCTGGAGTGGATACTGTGGAAGAGACTTTTTTTTTTTTTAAGTCAAAAAAGCAAATCAGAAACCTGAAGGATAATGAGGCCTCTCAGGCTGGGGGGCTTCGAAAGCTTCGGGAAATGCATTTTGTGAAAAACTTGTGCGCAGGTTCCAATATATTTTTGCACAAAAGGAAGTGAATCTTTTAACTACATTTTCCACACACCTTTGGAAGCCCCTGGCCTGGCCATGTGCAGGAAGAGGGACACCCTCCCCTCCCCAAAGTGAGCTGGAACCTGAGTTCTCGCCAAGTGCATTGCCGCTGCGGTTTGGTTGGTCCTTAGTATTTTTGGCCTCACCATGCATGGGATAGCCGTTCCCCCAAGGAGGTTTTAAAGTCACCATATAACTTCCTGCCAGCGTTTAGAGCTGTGCACCGTGGTCCCAGATCCCCGCCTGTGTTCGCAGAGCGCGTGGGTGGCCCTGGAGCACACAGAACAGCAGGGGCAGCCAGGGTGTGTCTCCACGGAGGGCCTGCCCCAGCCTGTGCGATATGCAGGCACGAGAGGTGGCCAAAGTGCCACACAGGTCCCTGGAAAGAGACGCGGGGGCCCTGGATGGCACCCCCAACCCTGCTGCCCACTAACTCTCTCTGCAGGAAAAGTGGCTGCCTCACCGGCGCACCAGCTCTGGCCTCAGGACAGTGGGAGTTGCAGCAAGGCAAATCCACGTGGCCACGCTGTAGAGTGTCGGGTGAGCCGTCTGCAGGCTCTGCCCACTGGCTTCTCTGGTTGTCATTAGGGCCCAGCCAGTGATCATAACCAGTGCCCAAACTCAGGGTGAGGGGGCAGCCCTGAGCTGTGGCATCTGTGTGGGGAAAATGTGGCTTTTGGTGTTGGGGCTGGGGACAGCCATGAGAGCAGCAGATGGAGGGCGTCCGAGTTTGCTGTCAGGTTCACTGCGCCCTGGGACATGGCCATGCTGTCCCTGCATTGCCGGAGGCACCTGGCTGGTCCACTGAGCATGGGCCCAGCTGGGCAGCAGGTGCAGGAGGAGGCGTGGAAGAGGGGCTGGGGTTTTTGGTGGAATGAAAAACTCTGGGAGGAAAGCAATACTGTCTTTGGATTTTTTTTTTTTAAGATTTATTTTATTTGAAAGAATTACAAAGAAAGGGAGGTCTTCCATCCACTGGTTCACTCCCACAACAGCCAGTGCTGAGCCAGGCTGAAGCAGGCTCCTGAAAGCAGAGCTGTGGCCACACTCTGACCAAGACCCTTCTGTGGCTCTGCAGGGCCAGGCATGGCCCTCACCCTCTGTCCAAGTCCTCCCTCCACCCCCTGAAAGCAGAGCTGTGGCCACACTCTGACCAAGACCCTTCTGTGGCTCCGCAGGGCCAGGCATAGCCCTCCCCGTCTGTCCAAGTCCTCCCTGCACCCCCTGAAAGCAGAGCTGTGGCCACTCTGCCCAAGACCCTTCTGTGGCTCTGCAGGGCCAGGCATGGCCCTCCCCGTCTGTCCAAGTCCTCCCTGCACCACCAGCACCCAGGATCCCCTTTCTGCAGCCACACCAGGCTCTCTGCCGTCTCCCTGCCATATTCAGCACCTGGGGCTCTGCCTGGGGCCTGCCTGGTGAGCCCCCCACCCTGCCGTCCCTGCTCAGAGACCCTCTCATGCCCTGAAGCAGCTGCCAGCCTCCATGTGCACCTGCGGCTGGCACCAGCCACCCCACATCGGGGACTGGATCTCCCTTTGCCATCCCCGGCACTTGCCTGCCCAGCTTGTCTTCGTCCTTCAGCCACAGATGGAACCTGTCTCTTCCCACATAGTGGAGGGTTCATAGCACAAAGTTCCTCAAAGTCAGGATTCAAAGGAAAGCTGGGGACAGAGTCGATCAGCTGTTGCAGTGTCTGAACGAACCAGCCGTAGCCGTCTTAGCTCTAACTGTGGGGCTTCCCTCTGCTCCAGCCTCTTGAGCCCAGATCGGGCAGAACCAAGAGGGAGCCCGCCGCCTTCTCAGACACGCTCTCACTCCCAGGCCAAATCGTGCTGCAGAAAATCCACTCAAGGGGGCCGGTGCTGTGGCAAAGTGGGTTAAGCCGCCACCTGCACTGCTGGCATCCCATATGGGTGCTGGTTTGAGTCCTGGCTGCTCCACATCTGATCCAGCTCTCTGCTAGTGTGCCTGGGAAAGCAGCAGAGGATGGCCCAAGTGCTTGGGCCCCTGCACCCACATGGAAGGTCCACATAAAGCTTCCGGCTCCTGGCTTCGACTTCGCCCAGTGTAGACTCTCAAGGCCATTTGGAGAGTGAAGCAGTGGATGGATGATCTCTCTGTCTATCTCCCCCGCCCCGTGACTCTGCATTTCAAATAAAATAAATCTTCAAAAAGAAAATCCATTCAAACTCGCAGTGCCAGAGTGCTTCTGAACCTAGAGGTTGCAGTGAGTGTGCATGCATGTGTGTGTGCGTGTACGTGTGTGCGTGTGCGTGGACAACAGAGGCCGATTTGGACACTGGGTCAGGCCGTAGCTGAGCTGCACTGGAAGTACTTGCTTCTCTAACGAAATCTTCACGCCTCCCTGCACGTGTCTGCCCTGTTGATCGGGGGAGGGGAAGGCGTCGATGAACGCGGAGTTCTGACATGGACTGGCAAGGCAGCCATGCCCTCCAAGGACGGCGCTTGAAGTTCCTAAAGTCACCGAAGGGAACAAAGGGAAAGAACTCTGTGGGGATGCGGCCATGAAGATAGGTTTGGAAAGTGATTTTTGCGATACTGGGTTACAGCAGGCGAGGCCCTGTGTCGGTGACCATGTAGTGGAGAATTGTTACATATCGGCTCCTTGCAAAACAGCAGAAGGCTCTGAGCTCCCCCTGGGGGCGAAGAGCAGGAAGTGCATACAGATGATGCCAGCTCAGCGCGGGTTCACACAGGGGTCTTTAACTTTATCCTAGCGTGGAAGCAGGACCGTGGGCGTGGGCAGTTCAGCATCTAGGCTTTTCCTGAGCTGGTGGTGCACGGCACAGTCCTCTCGTGGCTGAGCCGCACCCTCCCACCCCTGTCAGCTGCAGGGGTGAGCTTGGGATGAGGGTGAAAACACGAGATAGCCAAACAGCATGTGAGACGTCCGGAGCGCCTGAGACTCTCCGTGGAGCCCTGAGGTGTCAGGTAGGGCAGGGGAGATCTTCGGTATAGCACCTGGGTGTCCAGCGCATCCTCACTCACCGAGCCTTGTCTGACGCTGTTGCCGACAGCAGGCTGCCAAGTGTGGTGAGCATGTGTTACTCCAGCCCAACTAACCCAGGATATTTGTGGGTTCCGGGAGCCAGTGCGTTTACCCCGTGACGATATTTTCAGCTTTTTAAAAATATCTATTTATTTGAGAGACAGAGTTACAGAGAGAGAGAGAGAAGCGAGGTAAATCCTCCATCCGCTGGCTTACTCCCCAAATGGCCACAATGGCCAGAGTTGGGCCAATCCGAAGCCAGGAGCCAGGAACGTCCTCTGGGTCTCCCATGTGGGTGCAGGAACCTGAGGACTTGGGCCTTCTTCCACTGCTTTCCCAGGCCATAGCAGAGAGCTGGATCGGAAGTGGAGCAGCTGGGTCTCGAACCGGTGCCCGTATGGGATGCTGGCACTGCAGGCTGAGGCTTGACCTACTACACCACAGCGCCGGCCCCATTAGCTTCAGCTTTGATGGGCTCATCACGCACGAGTTTCTGCAGCTGAATCCCATCTCAGGCTGTGCAGATGAGCAGAGCGTGCTGAGGCTCCCCTGGGTCCCTGCCCGGTGAGGTCTTCTGAAGTCCCTGCGGGAACAGAGCTGGTGGCCACACCAGGCCCCGACGTCCGGTGGCGTCCTGCTGGCGCTGGCATGGTCTGCCGCTTGGGAGGAACTGAACCTCCAGTTCCAGAAGGAAGAAGCAGCTGTGTGGTCCCAGCCGCTGCCTGATGTGCACTTTCTTTGCTGGGTCTGGAGACAAGCGGCTGGGACACGTGTGTGAGGGTGGGACCTGTGGCTGTGGGCTGTGTCTGTATGGGTGCTGGAGGAAGCCGTCTTGGGTACAGATGAGGAAGAGGGAAGCTGAGCAGAGCACCCTGTGAGCGGAGAGAGGCCAGCCTGGTCTCTGGGAGCTGGAGCTGGCTGTGGTGGGCGGGGCCCGGAAAGCACCTGCACCCATTCGGTGGAGCTCGACCGGGGGGAGGGGGAACGGAGATGCCGAGTGGACTGCTCTGCAGAACTGGGGTCCTTGATTAAAAAAAAGCAGCCCCAAGTCTGCCCCTGCTCTGTCTCTGCCTTGACCCTGCTCTGCCACAAACTGGACCTGACAGCTGGGGATTCAGAGCCCCACAGCTGGCACGCCCAGAGCCGCAGCAAGTGGCCGGCCATGCATGGGGCCCCAGGGGGCTGGGGACCTCTGCCCTCTGACCCTGCAGGCCCATGGCTGAAAATGGCCGAAGGTCAAAAGAGCCTGCCTGTCCCGTGACACCTGCTGAGCAATGCGGCGAAGGTGGGGTCTGGGATTGGAACGGGGGACAAGCTGAGCTGCCGGTCCATGGTCACTGAAGCAGCTGGTGGTCCCTGGGCCATCACCGGCTCTCGATGCTCCTGCTTCCGGGTGAATTTGTGATCCTAGAGAGTGAGATCGTAGGGCACGGTGCGAGGAGGGTGCAAAGAGCAGCAGCCATGGCTGTGTCCGCACCCCTCGGCACAGGCGCTCGGCACAGGTACCCCATCTCAGGGGCATCAAGGTGCACCTGCGTCTGAGGGATCTTCTCAATGTTGGGGCAGTAGGGAGGGGTGGGGATTGTGGCAGCAGGGCCTGCAGCCCCTCCCCTGTACCCCCCGGGAACCCTGCCTCCCGCACCCCCACCAGTGCCGTGGGAGGGAAGCGGAGCCGGTGCTGACAGAAGCTGCGACTCCCACTTCTTTTATTTATTTATTTTTTTTTTTGACAGGCAGAGTGGACAGTGAGAGAGAGAGAAAGAGAGAAAGGTCTTCCTTTGCCGTTGGTTCACCCTCCAATGGCCGCCGCGTCCAGCGCGCTGCGGCCGGCACACCGTGCTGATCCGGTGGCAGGAGCCAGGAGCCAGGTGCTTTTCCTGGTCTCCCATGGGGTGCAGGGCCCAAGCACCTGGGCCATCCTCCACTGCACTCCCTGGCCACAGCAGAGGGCTGGCCTGGAAGAGGGGCAACCGGGACAGAATCCAGCGCCCCAACCGGGACTAGAACCCGGTGTGCCGGCGCCGCTAGGTGGAGGATTAGCCTAGTGAGCCGCGGCGCCGGCGACTCCCACTTCTTATGTGAACTCTGTCTCTGAATTCTTCCATCTAGGCTCATTGATGAAGGCGTGCAGCATAGCAGAGTGTGTCCCTGGCCCTCCTCCTCTTCTTCCTCCTCTTCCTCCCAGGCCTTCCCCTCCTCCTCCTTGTCTCCTACATGCTTTTCCCCCAAGCCCTGCAACCCTTCCTCCTGTGCTAAGTTCACGTGGTGGAGGATGGGAGGGGTTGATGGTGATGTGCAGGCCACGGGCACGTGCCGTGGGTGCCGGGCTTGGCACAGGACACCCAGTGGATCCTGCCGAGGGCCGGGGCAAGTGGGTGAATGAGCCAGCACACCAGGGTGGGGGCAGGGGCTGGTCTACCCTCCCGTGCACACGCTGAGTTTCTCGCTTTTCCTCGCTCCAGCCCTGCGCAGTCGCTCCGGCCGATCCATCATCAACGGGAACTGGGCCATCGACCGGCCCGGGAAATACGAAGGCGGAGGGACCATGTTCACCTACAAGCGTCCCAATGAGATCTCCAGCACAGCCGGAGAGTCCTTCCTGGCCGACGGCCCCACCAACGAGATCTTGGATGTCTACGTGAGTCTGGCTGCTTCTGCGGGCTTGGTATCTCGTAGCTTCCAAAGGTGCAGCCTTAGAACGAGGAAGCAAGGGAGCATTGCTCAGGGCACACGCGCACACACGCACACACACGCACACACACACACGCACGCACGCACTCCTGGTTGGCATTGACTCTTTCATGACTTATGGGCTTGCCATTTGCTTCTCCCAACCTGACGCCTGGGAGGCACTGATTAGCCTCAGTTTAAGGACCCAGTGGAACGGATGGCGCTTGCCGAGCCAGAGCAGGGGCAGAGCCCAGGCCCCCTCCCAGCTCCCCCTCCCAGTGTGCTAGTTTGATAAAGCAAGGCCTCTCCAGGCTGGACTACAAGGAATGGAGAAAGGGGGGCTCTGGGGTGCTCAGCAGTCACTGGGAGGGGCTTCCTGCAAGCCCCCACATCCTCGCTCCTGTAGGAGGTTGAGAGAGGTTCTTGATTTTAAAAGAAGCTGCTGGAACCAGCCTCCTTAAGAGATCAGAGAACAAAGGGTGACCAGAAGTCGACGCTGAAAATTACGTGTGGGTGAACCCCAGGGCTCACCTGTGAGTACACGGAGGGGCTTCCTAAAGCTCCCCGGGGAAATGGAATCGAGATAGAAGTTTCTCTTGGTGACCACGCGTTGGAATCGGCATGTCGTGTTTTGGATAACATGCATTCCCCCGGAGCCATGTACTGCAGAATTTTTTTTGCACCCAAATGAGCGCATCTTTTGATTGCACGTTTGCATGACTGAAGCCCTGCCTCGCCCAGGGTTTCCCATCCGTTCTGTATCAAAGTGTGGTGCACGTAGCCTGAGCGGTGCCCGGGCTCCGGAAGCCTCGTGGCTACACCGTGGTTACTTCTCCAGCTCTGTGGTTCTGTGTCCACTCCTCTTGTGCCTGCTGGAAGGGAGGTGACAAAGGAAGCATTGTCAGATTTACTATGGAGCTTTTCTTTTTAAGTCTATCCAGTTAGTTGGTTGAATCTGGGTTAATTCTGAACAGTGTTGCAGGGGGGAAACCCCAGATTCCCAGCTTGTCGGTCACGCCTGGGTGGTCTAGGAACTAGGAACGGCGGCCAGCGGTGATGTCATGAACAGAACAAGGTTTGTGCATGGAGAGGGAGGCTCAGCGCCAGCCTCTGGCCAGGTTCCGGTCGTGCGGTGTGGGGAGGAGGGGTGGTTAGGTGCTGGCCGCGGGAGCTGGGGCCGCTCTCGGCGCTGCAAGGGCTGACGGGGCTCTGGAGTATGAAGTCCTGCGGTGTCTGGGCCTGCCTTCCGGGGTGGCTTTGTCACGGGGACTCGGTCATAAGTGAGGAGAGGACAAGAGACAAGGAATCAGTAGGAGGGCGGATCCAGGGCCCCGGGGACTCAGGGTCACTCCCAGACCCTCGCAGCCGGGAGAGACCACCGCCTTCTCCAGACGGAGCAGCTGGGGGGAGTTGGCCAGGGTGCACAGCCGTCCCAGGAGAGCAGAGCCACCTGCGGTGAGGCGGGCAGTGTCTCCTTGTCCAGGCCCCTGCTCTGCAGAGCCCATCCCATCACCCCCACCCCAGCAAAACTGAGAGCCCGAACAGCTCTGGGCCCCCAGGCGAGGCGGATGGAGTGGGACCTGAGCTGCTCACGCCGCTCCCAGATGTGCTGTGGGCGCCCCAAGTCGGGATTCGGTGCCCCACCCGGCGGCCAGCCTTTGGCCATCGGCTCCTGAGAGAATGGGACGCAGGCAGCCTGGTGTGCCCCCTGCTTGTCTTCCTGGCCCCGTGTCTTTGTGGTGATGGGGCTTTCTAGGGAAGAGAAGGGAGGGACCCAGAGAGGACCAGGCCCACGCTGAAGGCCCTGTCCCAGAGGCTCAGTGCCGCCACCTGGTGTCCGTCAGCCGCTGCTGCAGGGTAGACCCACTTCCTCTCCCTGGGGGAGCTCTGGGCAGAATCTTAGCCCAGGTACAGGCTCTGCTGCCGTCTTCCTGGCCCGGCTCCCAGCCTCCTTCTCTTCCTTCGTCAACAAAGCCTGATTCAGTCCGTTCTGCCCCAGGTCCACGGCATCCCTGGACGGGAGTCCGCCCAACTCCCTTACCCACTGGGCCACTCGTACCTGGAGACCCAGGCCAGCAGGAGGGGCGCGGCGGGCGCGTGTGCAGGGGGCAGTAACGGTGGCTTTTGTGTGCAGATGATCCACCAGCAGCCCAACCCCGGCGTGCACTACGAGTATGTTATCCGGGGCACCAACGCCATCGGCCCGGAGATGCCACCACTCAGGAGATCAGGTAAGCCCCACTTGCCCCCTCTCGTCCACTGTCCAGGCAGAGCCTCTGTCACGGGCCCGGTCAGTGGCCTCAGCTCTCAGACACCCGTGGGCACCATCTCCCTGCACCTCACTGACTGCCCTCTGCTAGCTGACTTTGGGGCCACCTGCACCCTATAGGTGGGCCTGGGCTTAAGTCCAGCTTTGCTCCTGGCTCCAGCTGCCTGCTGATACAGGCCCTGGGAGGCAGCAGGTGATGGCTCACGAGGTTGGGGCCCTGCCACCCCCACATGGGAGACCTGTGTGTGGAGTTCCTGGCTTCAGCTCCCCAGCCCAGGCCGTGGAGTTTGAGAAGGGTCTTTCCGTTCCTCCCCCGCAGAGGGTCAGGGTCGCAGGCTGTCCCGACTGCGCAGCCTCCGTGGCCGGGAGCGAGTGGTTCCTGCCCACGTGGCTCTGCCATCGCGAGTGGAGCTCTCGGTCTCTCTCTCGGTGGCCTTGCCTGGTTTTCCTGCCGAGACACTTCTCTTTTCCTTTCGAGTTGTCAGCAGCTTTGCAAGCACTAGGGACCCCCATGTCTGCTCCCTCGGGGTCCCCCACAGAGGCCGTGTCCCCTCCCAACCCCATCTCCACACTGACCTCTCTGCCTCGGCACCTGCCCCTCCCAGGGCAGCCCTTCAACGGCCAGCTGGTGACAGACGGCAGGAGCCAGGACGAGGGGGAGCAGGAGCGGAGCGAGGAGACGGAGGACGTGGGCAGCCCCAACAGCCCGGTGCCCCCAGCGCCGCAGCCACCGCGGCGGAGCCCGGGCCACAGGTGGAAGCAGCTGGGGGTGACGGAGTGCTCAGCCACCTGCGGGAAAGGTGAGCCTGCCCGTGGGACGGGGTCCCTGCAGGAGCCCGAGAGAGGGGCGTGGAGGACGTAGCCAGCTCCGCCTCCCCCGGAGCCTGCTGGGAGCTGGCCCTGCGTGTACAGGTCGGCGCTGGAGATCTGCTGGCAGCGTGACTTGTTAGCAAGAGGACGCAGGCAGAACCGGGGTGGGCAGTGGCACCTGCGCCGGGCCCAGGTGTGCCGCCCCCACGGCCCCTCCCCCCCGAGCAGAGCTGCCCCGAGTGCTCTCACTTCTCCCTGCACCTGCTCTTGGGGAGAGGTTGCTATGGAAACAGGGAAGCTGGACGCTGCACCCCGCCCCTCCCCGGGTGTCTGCAAACTGAAACGCCAGCGCGTGCAGCCCGGGTCTGCAGCTCTTTTGCTCTTTCCTGTGGGAGACTTGGTCTGAGCGTGCAGGATTCTGCAGGTGGAAGATGTCTCGGGGCTGCACCTACAGGTCTCCCCTGGGAGCCCTAGCTGGGTGGCTTTGGGAGCAGGGTCCGGCCTTGGGCTCCCCCTAGAGGCTGAGGCTCTTCCTCCCTGGGACTCTGCAGTGGTGACTGGGTGCTAGGGTGTGGCTTCTCAGGGGTTGTGTTGGGCCACATGCAGGGGCCGTGCGCTGGGAGTCACCAGGATGCAGCTCTGGGCCCCGCCTCGGCCCCCTTGAAGCTGCCCCCAGGGCGGCGATGGCACGGATGTGCAGGGTGTGGGGGCAGTAGAGGGAGCAGGCATGCCGTCCCCACACAGTTCCCAGCCCATGGCAGTGTCTGGCTGTGTGAGTCGCTCCTGGGCCCTACCAGAAAGCCTGCGGGGAACCAGCTTCCTAAGGGGGAAAGGGGTTGTGTAACTCACAGTTTTGGAGGCCAAGCTCAGCATCAGGCAGTCCCCCAGCCCCCACCCCAGGTTACCCTGCCCTGAGCATGGCAGTGGTGGCGCAGGGAGAGCAGGCAGAGGGAGGCTCCCCTGGCGAGCAGAGCGGCCAGGCCCACCTCCCCTGGGCGAGGCCCTCTCCCCACGTCCACCCTCCTACTGCCGTGACCTTGCGTTGTTTGGGATTGCATGCCTGCGCGCGTCCAGGATCCGCGTCTCGTTCAGGCCACAGTCCCAGCTCCGCCATGCTCGGCCCGGGGCCATTCCCCCTGGGGCCCCCTCATTGGCAGCCCAGGCCCCCACCATCTGAGACCCTCGTGGCACCACCCCTCCTCATGCAAATGCTTTCCGCCTCCCCTCGTCGTCAGCTGGGCATCCGTGAGTGGCCCCTGCACGATACAGGGGCTGTCCAGCCCTGTGTCCAGCTCTCGGCTTGGCTCGGCTGCTCCCTGCCTTCCAAGGGGACGTCTCCATCTCTTCTCTGCTGCTTCCTTCGCCTCACTCCACGTAAAGGCCTCTGACCTGCGTGCTCTCCCCAGAGCTCACGGACTCACCCGTGGCTCCCTCTTCTAGCGCGGCAGACTTGTGTTCTAGCCCACAGGCCACGCCCAGGCCAGCGGCAGCTGCCCTCAGCTCCCTGCTGCTGCCCCTAGCGATGCAGGAGTGATGGACGTGGACGTGGGGGGACAGTGTCCTTGCTGCCGACGCTCACACTCACCCCCAGCGAGAAACCGCAGCAGTCGGTGGAGGCGAGAACGGCTGGCCTGGTCAGGGAGACAGAGACACTGTGGTTCCACTCCTCGGTTCATTCCCGTGGGGCTGGAGCAGGGACAGTGCCTACAGAGGTGGCGAAGTGAGACAGGGGAGGGGGCCGGCAGCGGCCATGTGCCAGGCACGTGGTTCCTGTGCCCTGCAGCTGAAAACACGGGATTTCCCCTTTGGGAGGTGCCACGCGGCTGGGACAAAGCTTTCCAGTCCAGGAGCAAGTGGGCAGGCCACAGCCACGCACTCCGGATCGCCCACAAGGACCTCTGGGCAGCTCTGCAAGCCTGGGCAATGGGGAGGAGGGGTGAGGGTTGCGCCCTGTCCACCCTCTCCAAGTGAGGTTTCTTCTGCCTGCCAAGTCGGGCAGTGACACCTCAGTGCTGCCACCAGGCGGCAGCAGAGAACAGCAGGTAGAACTGGAGCCGCTTTTTTCCCCACCGTATTGAGAACCAGAAATTCCACCCAAATTCCATCCTTTTACACCTGGTTAAGCCCATGCAACTAGCCTGCGTGTTTGAAGGACAAAACTGAGGCAGTATTTTTTTAGCAAAACAACATAAACCAGTACTATCAGGCCTCTGCGAACATTCTTCAAACATTTGTTGACAATTGCTGCTCCACTGGGTGTTAGGGTCACACACGTGGAGACCCTGTGCTGCCTCAGGGCAGGGCCACTCGTCCTCTCAGGTAACAGCAGTGCCCCGTCAGGGCCTTCTGGGGAATGTGTTAGGAAGGGAAGCTGTTCCTGCCCTTCCAGAATGTTCTTCCTGCTTCCACATGGCTGTCTCCAAAATGCGCCTGGACAGCGGTCAGTTTGTCCATAGGCACTTCTCTCTCAGTGAGTGAGCTGGGCAGCCCCCTCAACGTGTGCGTGTGCACATTTGTCTAACACGTATGCACACACATCTGCTCAACACATGTGTGCACACATGTCCAACATATGCACACACCTGCCCACCACGCCTGTGCCCACACCTGTCTAACACGTATGCACACAGCTGCCCACCATGCCTGTGCCCACACCTGTCTAACACGTATGCACACACCTGCCCACCATGCCTGTGCCACACCTGCCCACCACATGTGTGCTTTGCCTGCGTAAGCCATCCCTTCCTCAGGACGCCCTCTCTGTGATGCCTCTGGAAACCTTGGCAGAGCGCCCGTTTGTGCTGGTGCTAGCATCACCCTGCCCCGCATTCTCTCCTTTGTCACCTCGAGCTCTGACGGAAAGCGTTCCGTCTACCTGAGAGCACGTTCAGGCCAGGTGGCAGGTAGCGTGTCAGCTTTCTGCGGGGGGTGGGGGGGCTGAGCCCGATCCGTGCACCTGCAGTTCTAGCAAAGCTTTGGGGAGCTGCACACCTGCCACGGCTGTGGAGAGGGCACTGTGGGTGTGGGTTTCAACACAGTAGCACCAAAATAAACCCATCTCTGATTCAGTTTCCCACGAGCTTTTTGGCATGTCCTTGTATAAAAACTCAAGAACAAAAGGGAGTGAGAGTGTATTGTGTGAGGGGATGTGAATGTGTGCATGAATACGTGCATGTATGTGTTGCATGTTCATGTGTGTGCACTGTGTGCAAGTCCATGTGTTGTATCTGTGCATGTTTAGCTCATATGTTGTATCTGTATGTGAGTGCATGTTGTATGTGTGAGTAAATGTGTGTGTTCTTGTGTTGTGAATGTGTGTATGTCTGTGTGTGAGCTCATGTGTTGTATCTGTGCATGTTTAGCTCATGTGTTGCATCTGCATGTGTGTACATATGTTGCATGCATGAGTGTGTGTATGTGTGTGTTGTGTCTGCATGAGTGAGCTCATGTGTTGTACCTATGTGAGTGCATGTGTTGCATGAGTGAATACACGTGTGTGTGCTTGGGTTGTGAATGTGTGTGTGTGTGCGTGTGTGAGCTCATGTGTTGTATCTGTGTGAGTGCATATGTTGTGTACATGAGTGCGTGTGTGTGTGGCTGTGTTCTGTGTGTGTGAGCTCATGTGTGGTGTCTGTGAGTGCAGGTGTGTGTGTGTGTATATGCACACATCGTGTGTGCTGTGTGTGTATACTGTCAGTATGTGTGCCTGTGTCATGTGTATCTGTGTGCATGTGAGCTCATGTGTGGTGTCTGTGAGTGCAGGTGTGTGTGTGTATATGCACGCATCGTGTGTGCTGTGTGAGTGTGTATACTGTCAGTATGTGTGCCTGTGTCATGTGTATCTGTGTGCATGTGAGCTCATGTGTGGTGTCTGTGAGTGCAGGTGTGTGCTGTGTGTGTGCGTCATCTCTGTGTGCGTGAGGTGCCCTCCCGTCCTGTGCCTCCCCGCCTTCCTCTGCTCAGCCTACACGTGGGCAGCGGTGGCGGGTCCCTCACACGCTGCCCTGGCCCTGCAGGATCGCGGTCACCCATTTTCCGCTGTGTGCACAGAAGCACGCAGGAGGAGGTCCCCGAGAGCTACTGCGACGCCAGCGTGAAGCCGAGCCCCGAGGCCGAGCCGTGCAACATCTTCCCCTGCCCGGCCTTGTAAGTCGGCCTCCCTGACCCCTCGAGCTGCTGTCATTCAGCTGTTAGACCCCAGTGGGACCTGGGGCCCCAAAGCTCTGCGACATCACCGCCAGCCCCAGAAAAACCGAGCAACCAGGCGCTGGAACCCAAATCCTGAATGGGTTCCAAACTGGCTTCAAGCTGGCCTCTGCAGTTCTAGCTTTCCTGGATAAAATCATTCCCTCCTCCCCAGCATTCGTAGGGCTTAAACAGCAGGCGTGTGTCCCAGCTGCCCTCCCCGCCTGCCCCCCACACCCTGCAGACTTTAGATCCCTAGAGGTTCAGGGCTGCAGGAGGGATAGGCTCAGCCTCCCACCCTAACCCCGTCCCAGTCCACACACACACTGAGGCTGGCTGTCTCCCTTGTCCCTTCCCGAGCCAGCTGGGACATCGGCGAGTGGTCGCAGTGCAGCAAGACCTGTGGCCTAGGCACGCAGCACCGGCAGGTGCTGTGCCGCCAGGTGTACGCCAACCGCAGCCTCACCGTGCAGCCCTACCGGTGCCAGCACCTGGAGCGGCCTGAGACCGCCAGCACGTGCCAGCTCCAGATCTGCAGCGAGTGGCACATCCGGGCCGACTGGACCTCGGTATGCAGCGCGCAGGCAGGCGGGCAGGCGGGCGGCGGCAGAGACCTGAGCTCCCTGGGAGGGGCCCCGTGCCCAGGTTCCACGTCAGTCCCCTGGGCACCCAGCTGCTCCATGGAGTCGCCCACCACACCCACCTCGGGTGTCAGGCTTGGTGACAGCCACCCCCCGACCCCACCCCCAGTTCCACCTCCACGCATGAGAGGTGGCAGAGCCAAGACCCCAGAGGAACAAGCAGGCAGGGCGTGGTCACAGGCCCTGCGGCCGCTGACGCGGCGGCTGCCACCCGCGTTTCAGTGCTCGGTGCCCTGCGGCGTGGGGCAGAGGACCCGCGACGTGAAGTGCATGAGCAACCTCGGGGACGTGGTCGCCGACGAGGAGTGCAACGTGAAGCTGCGGCCCAGCGACATCGAGAACTGCGACATGGGGCCCTGCGCCAGGAGCTGGTTCCTCACCGAGTGGAGCGAGCGGGTGAGCGTGGGCGCACGGGCGCAACGGGGCCGGGGGCGGGCCCTGAGCGGGCAGATCCCGTCGTGCGGTGCGGCTGGTGTCTGTGTGGCCCGGGTGCCGGCCCGGCCCTCGCCTCCTCCTTCCTGTCGTGTGGCACGCGAGGGGAGAGGGAGTCACACCCCCAGCATGTGC